TGTGTTTGAATCCCTGCGGAAGCCCACGTTCAGTAGCTTTGAGGCAGTCCCAGGTGATACAGCTTACAGAACACACACACACACACACACACCACTGCAATAAATTACATAATGCCATAAAGCGAGTCACATGAATATTTTTGGTTTCCCAGTGCATTTAAAAGTTATGTTTACACTATACTGTTATCTGTTGAGTGTGCAATAGCATTATCTAAAATGTATGTAACTTACAAAACTTAATTAAAAACATACTTTATTGCTAAAAAATGTTAACCATCATGGAGCCTTCAGCAAGTCGTAATCTTTTTGCAATAGTAACATCAGAGATCACTGATCACAGATCATCATAACAAGCAGAATAATAATGAAAAGTGCAAAATACTGCGAGAATTACCAAAATGCAACACAGACACTCAGTAAGCAAATGCTGCTGGGAAAATGGCGCCGATAGACTTGCTGGACACGTGGCTGCCACCGACCTGCAGTTTGTAAAAAATGCAGGATCTGTAAAGCGCAGTAAAGCAAAGTGGTGTGTGTGTGTGTGTGTGTGTGTTGCTTTGCTCCACAATGTGTGTTTAAAGATTAGGAAACATGGATGGTGAGGTCAGAGAGCTGTGTTTTAGCCTTGCAGGCCAGGGAAAGTGAACGTTTTGAAAGGGTCGACGGGAACAGCAGTCCGCGTGCTCTCCTACCCCCTGTACCAGTAAGGAACCCCGGGGGGTGGGGAACAGATCCCCCATTCTGTACCTTTATCAAGTTTAAATTACTTTAGTTTTTTCTCTGTGTTTAAGATTAACCCCCAAATACTCAAAAGTCCTGCCAGCCCCCAAATTATGAGGCGCCCACTTGGAGCCAGGCGTTTGTGAACCTTCCGTCCTTGGATGACCTCGTGTTGAAGGCATAACTGCTTGTTGGTTTCGTGTAAACTGAAGTCTCGAGAATTCAGGGTCTGCCGCGTGTTTTCAGCGTCCAGAGCTCAGTAATCCCCTGAACATCAGAGAGAGTCCCCTTGGTCCCTGACTCTGCACTTTTATATTTTATGTTTAGCTTTTAAATATAGAGTCCTTCTCACATGTTGTATTCATTCACACGGAAGAAAAAACTCAGTAAACACAACTTAGTAATGAAAGCTTACCCATTTCATAAGTTTTCTTAAACTCTCTTTATTCTAATTAAAATGTTTCCATCTGATGGGAAAGTTTATGAATGGCAAGAACTAGAAATTTAGCAAGAAATTAAAAGAACATTAATGACTTTATTGGTGTTTGTTTTGAGGTTTTTCTCCCCACTACATGGTGTGTTGCTTAGAAAGTCACTCCTGTGCACGTAAGTCTTTATGACAAATGGACTGGAATGTATCCCAGCAAAAGAAGAGCTGTGTTGTGATGCCACTTGTGAATTATAACACATTATGTAAGAGAACCAAGGGATTAACTTTTTAAAAGTGTTAGCGTAATTACTTAATTTGGTACACACACAATTCTAGTTTCTTTGAAAGTGAAGGTCAGTGTGTCTAGGAGACTAGGAAGTGAGCATTTGGATATTTGCTCATTTAAAAAAAAATTAGACCTGGATGGCTAGCATGCTCTTGTTTTAATTCTTGCCTCAAAAAATCTAAAGCATAACATTTAAATTTGTAATTTATTTCTTCAGAGATTTAGTGCTAGAATTTAAACTTTAAGTGACGTAGCCTGTGTAACCTTAACCAAGGCAGCTGTTTGGCCTGTAGTAGGCAAACGCTTCCCTGCCCGCATCCTCAGGGTACCTAGAACCCACGCACGTGCAGCTCTCTGGATGGCTCTGTGTATTGTCACCTGGATTTACCTTTACTAATAAGGCAGACGTTAACCCGACAGTTGCATCTCTGGATGCAGGTGTAGGTGCAGGTAGAGAAGTACCAGCCCCCAGCCCTTCATGAGCAAACTTGGCACATCTCCGCCAGCCACATTCACTACCCCAACACATGTGTGCCCTCTCGCACTTCTGTCCGTTCACACATGCTGTTTCCTTCTCTGCGCCAGCCCTTCCCCCCAGTGCTGCCGATTCTGGCAGGTGCTCCCAGGGACCAGCCTGGGTGTCCCTCCTCATGCACCCTTCCTGCATTGCACAGCCAGCCCGGCTGGTTCCCTGTCATCATGGGCACTGCTTTCCGTACCCCTCTAGGGCCCTGGCACATCTTACTGTTGTTTCTCTCTTTACCGATGTCTTTAAGTCAGTAACCTGTGCACTCTTTGGAGCAGGGGCTGGGCCTCACCTGTTTCTGTTTCTGTTGCACCCAGCCCAGTGTCTGCATGCGGTTGTGGGTGAATGAATGTGGGTGGACGAATGGGGAAGTGATGACTGATGGATGGGGTTGTGTACCATCAAGCCAAAGCGATAAACGTAGTGACTGTTTGGGGGAAAGAGAATAAATACTGTTTTTGTTTATATAGATCCTAAAATTTGGTAGCAGAAAGCAAATGTGCTAAGAGCAATGGAAACTAAATCAGAAGCTGTTGCCTGATTTCATGGAGACAGTCACATTTTATGTAAAAAAATATGTATATATAATTTACATTTGATCGCCTTGAAACCTTCCATTTGTTGTTCTGATGTCTTAGTTAATAATTTAATTGAATAATGCCTAAGGAAATAGACTGTAAATGTCATGAGAACTTCCCTTGTAAGAAGCTTTTTTCTTCTTGTAATGTGTCCTTTTTAAAAAGGACTGTCTTCAAGACTTGTGAAATTGGCCTCTGAGCCTTGGACACGTGCCTGAATATGACAGTTCTTTTTTACTAACCTTGCTTCACTGAAATTGAATAGTTAAGCTTATTGTCAGTCAGTTTGAGGTTTGGTTGGAAATCAACTCCAAATTGGAAAAACAAATTAGACAGCATCACCGCCCCCACCTGCAGCACGGCGTGCTCCCTGCGTTCCCTTTAAGACTCGTTAGCACAGCGTTCAGTGTTTTACCCCACGTCACGCACTTTATGGCTTCCCCCTCAGATAGTAGCTAAGCAAGGGGGGTACGTGAGAGGTTAGAGAAGATGGGTCTTCTGAGCTTGCGGCAGCGTCCGTGTGAATTTGGTAGTTTTAAGGGCACCGCAGAGGTCACCCACAGCTTACCATTAGGCTCTTACATAATTAGGAACTCTTAGTCCTTTTCCTTATTCAGTAACCCTTTGAAATACCATATTTTTCTAACCTGTGAAACTGGCCTAGGAAGTAATGATTGGAAATGCTGGGAATTCAATTTAAGAAGTTCACCTTTGTCATCCTGTGCTTCAACTAATAGTCTCTAGCAGGGGAGCCTCTCGAAACATTGTGTTCTGTTCTATCAATATGTACTTAGACGCGTTAATCTGAATTAGAGAGCTGATTGTACATAATGACTCCCCTGGGACGCTGTGTTAGAAAAAACAAAACAAAAACTTAAGTGGTTTACTGAATATGCACAGTCAGTAAAAAATTCTCCTGAATTAGTGTTAATTGAATCTGAACCTTGATCATCTTCCAACCTTTAATTTTTAATTTGATCCTTTAAAAAGTTTTGTGGCCTCTGAAAGACACAACCTACAACCCAGTAAAAGTTACGCTGTATTGATTACAAAAAGATCGATTGTAAAAGAACTGATTTTGAGTTCCCGCAGGGAAGTCAGTCAGATGCGTGGGAATATGTTTGTATGTAGTTGTGCATGCAGTACATACGTGCATGTGTATGCACAGACATATGTATGTGTTCAATATGTACTTTAGTTTGCCTTTATCCAGATGTCTTCTCTCTCTGCCTCTGGAAATGGGGCAAATTTTCTTCAGTTAAAAACGGAAATAGAAGCGATGGTCTTGACCCACTTTACGCTTATTTATTTCAGGCTCTCAGCACACACTTGTTCACGGGCGCAGCAAGAAGAGGGACCCACGGAGCTGCAGCCGTGAGGGCTGACACACCGGAGTGGGAGCTGGCAGGACTCGCAGGGAGAGCTCTGCCGTCCCGCCAGCTCCATATCTGGCGTCAAGACAATTCTATTAGTGAATTAATTGTACTCAGAACCCAAAATTAATTTGAACCGAATGTTACTAAAAATGAAATAGATTAAAGTGACCCAGTCTCGCCTCGTCCAGAGTTATTGTGAAGGAGATCTCCAGCCTGACCTAGCTCGGGGAGAGTGGGTCTCTGTCCGCGTGCCACCTGGTCACAGAGGCCTGTGTGACCATCCAGATGCCACTTCTCGATCCCCTTGACAGGCTGCTCTTTTAGTGGGAGCGATGACCTGCTTGTGGGTTACTGTCCAAATCCGGGAGAATGGCAGCTCCCCGAGGGCAGGGCCTCTGTCTCGTCCACCCTGTGTCTGCAGCACGTAGGGCAGTGGTGGGCACAGCATGGAGCCTAAATAAACATGGCGAATGTGTGGATGGGGCACATGACATCGCATCCTTTCTGAACATTTTCCTTTTAATTTGCCTTTTGTGTATGACTTTTAAAAATGATAAAGCAGTGATATTTGGGGATAAATACAAGAATTTTGTTGTGATCGAAATGACCAGCAACTCAGTAGAGAGTGTTTATAAGAGACCAGAGCATATCAGGTCTTTGAAATTACGAATGATGAAACTTTACTGTGTGTCACGGTACCCATGCTCCTGATGAAGAAGTAGAAGAAATAAATGGAGGAGAAACAAGAGTTATGTCTCTGGAATATTTTAGTATCAAGACATCTAGTGAGAGTCTAGAAAGAAACACTGAAGAATAAAAACCGGGAGGTAGAAAATAGGCAGACATTAAGATTGTTTCTGAATGTTTAATAATTTGAAATAATGAAATTTGGCATCAAGTGAACAAGATAAACCAAAGTATTTCCTAGGTCAAATGGGCATTAGCAAGATAGAAAGGGAACTTGGAGGCAATTATGTAGATGTTAGTAGCTAAGTACTTCGTCCCAGGTCCCCTCAGTGAGCGGCCACTCTCTCCATCCGTGTCCTGTGTGTGGGTGTAGGCTGGGGCACCGATACTCTCCGTGAAGATGCTGTTCTTTGAGGAGGTTGTGTGTTTTTTTTTCCTTTTCTTTTTTTAAATACAAAGAGCAAAAACAAAACCAAGGAGACAGTATCCTCTGATGTAGGCTGTTATCTCAAGGTGAGTTTATTTGTAGCACTAACTTGTGACGAATTGTTTAAAGAGCTGAAACTTTTAAGGTATAGTGTATTTTATTTGTCAGATTTTGTTCATTTCAGTGTAAACTTCAGGTATTTATTGCACACTGAAGGAATCAACTAAAACCAGGAGAAGCAGGCCCAACTGAACTTGAATTTTATTGCATATGGAGAAGTAACCCAACATTTCTGATCAAACAGTAAATGTTTCAGTTCCTTTTAAATTAAGTGTGAAAAGCAAAGATTAGATTTTCATGTACCACAAAGCAAAACAAAAACAAAACCCCTTTCAGGGCATAATGCATTTTCCATTAAACTTATCACTGAACTATTTTGATTATGTAATCTAATCCTCCCATGGAAGTATGAGAAGTGTGAATTCTGGAGTGAAGAAATAATTGCAGAAGGTAGCTAATGAGGCAGAACTCACAAATCTGCATTTGTAGTCTTGTGGACAAATAAATCATCAGAGGAAGATACAAACGAAAAGAAAAATTCTTGATTGCCTCCAAGAAATGCAAGATTGAACTTTTTACTGAAATAGAATTTTACAGCCTCTCGGAGGGATGTTGTGAGTATTAAATAAGTGTAATGTGCTCAGAATAGCAACCTAGGGCATAATGAGCACTAGTAAATGTTCTATTTATCCTTAAAGGGATTTTAGTACAAAAGATTAAATCATGTTTTAATCATGCATAATAAACTGTTCCATAATTTTATTATGGTAAATGTCCACTTGTAATTCAAAAGAGTGGCTTTTTAAAGCAAAGAAGAAACTGAAATGCTTTTCTTTGTGCTCTTTTGTGTGTACGTGTGAAAGGTGCTGGGACATGTGATCCAGATGACAACCTCAGTGACAAAAGATCCTGG